GCGAGGTCACTGAAATGCCAAGGGATTGGCTATCCTCTGCATACTCCAGTTTTGAATACAGTACAGCAGAAGACTATTTCTGAACTTCCTGGAAAGAATAAAATTTGATTGGGTTGGGCTAGTTTGGTTCTGGGACAGGAAGTAAAGATAGCACTTTCGAAGTACAGAACTTGTATTAGAGTTCTCTAGAGAAACAGAACAAATAGGATATATATGAAGAGATTTATTATGGGAATTGGCTCACATAATTATGGAGGCCAAGAAGTCTTGCCATCTGCTATTTGTAACCTGGTGAACCAGAAAGTTGGTGATGTAATTTAGTCCAAGTCTAAAGGCCTGAGAGCCAAGGTAGGGTGGTTGGGTACTGGTTTAAGTCCTGGAGTGCAAGGTCCAAGAACCAGGAGCTCTGATGTCTGACAGCAAGAGAAAATGGGTGTCCCAGCTGAAAAACAGAGTGAATTCACCCTTTCTCCATCTTTTTGTTCTATTCCAGCCCTCAATGGATTAGATGATGCCCACCTACATTTCCTGCCCGTATACCCAGCAACCATTCCCTGCTTTGCAATTTCTAAGACTATTCAGATTTTTCTTCTGGTTAGCATCTCCTCCTCCTTAAAGCCCATGCTTCCATGAGTCTTGTATCTAAGCTAAAGAAGATATTTGTATCTTCAAACATCCCATCCGCATCCCTCATTCAAGAGTACAGTTGCCAAGGGCTTTTTAAAAAGAATGTTCCCTGCTCTTCTGAGATAGCTACTAAAAGAAATGCTCTCTGTTGTACTGAACAGTCTGATATGTCATGTGAAAAATGAAACTTCTAGTTCATACATGCATTCTCAATGGGGGCAATATCACCTCCAAATGGTGAAAATTGAGGGAATAAAATCTTACTTTTTAACATATAAAGCACAAATATACATATAGTATGTAAACAGATATACAGTATATCTGTGGTATTAAAACTGTGGGAAGGGGCATTAAGGTGTCTAAAAAGTCTCCTTAGAGGGACAGTAATGGGAAAAAACATTGAGAAACACTGTTCTAGAGTATGTTAAATACCACAAAAGTCAGAAGAGAATAATAGAAACTAAATTAGGGATGTTATCAGTAAGCCTATAAATTAAATGAAACCTAAATCCCGTCCTAGCTCTTGACTTTCCACTTAATTAAGCCAATAACCCCCCTTTGTGTCTTCTCTTCCTTACAATGAAAGTCATATTAACTGATAAAATATGAAACTCTTTATCTATGACACATGCCAATGCAACAGAATATTAAAGTAGAGCTATTTTAGTCTCAGTTCCCACTAAGCCTCCATGAAAATAGGTGCCAGATATCCCCATATCCAAAATGAGCCAATTAAGATGAGAATTCCATTTAGAACATGCAAAGAGGTGGTGAGAAATGGATTTTGAAACCTTTGTCCCCTCATTCCTTGGAGAGCATAAAAGGGCTAAAATTGAAGACAGAGTTGGAGGTTAGAGAGTAATTATCAGGGTGCTGAGATGAGGGTGGGTGGTAGAGGGTGCTCAAACTAGGAGGGACTTCAAGGAGATCACCCAAGTAGCTTTATCTCTGGGAAGTTGTGGAAACACATGGACTGGTGGCTAAAGTTGACATGAAATTGTGGGGTCCATCCTTAACTCATGAAAGTTAAAGAAATCAAAGGGAATGCGAAGTCAAAATTGAGGTAAACCAAGATGCGTTCAGCTTCCCTCCATCATTTCTCTGAATTAAAAGTTCATTACTTAGGATTCTTTGGCTTCAAGTGACAAAAATACAACTTGGAACAGCTTAAACGAAAAATGGGAACTTATCAGCTCACATGACTAAATCACATAATGGAAGAGTCCAATGGATTGGACCTTGGGAATGACTAGGCCCAGAGATTTGAACGCTGCTGGGACTTCCTATTATCATGAGCTAGGGAAAAGCTGCCAGGCAGACAAAAGAAAAAGTTATCTGCAAACAAGTAGGACAAGAATAGATTTTATACTAGTATCAATATCAGAAGTTCGAGTCAGTGGATGAAACACCAAAGCTGGGCTGGCCAACTACCTCAGTTGGTTAGAGCACAGTGTTATAACACCAAGGTCAAGGGTTCAAATCCCCATACCAGCCAGCTACCAAAAAACAAAACAAAAAAGAAACCACCAAAGATAAATAGATGTAGGTGTGGATGATGGGCAGATAGATGGATGGATATATGACCGAGAAAGTATAGAAAATGTTTAAGGCTGGCTGGTTAGTTCAGTTGGTTAGAGTGCAGTATTATAACACCCAAGGTCAAGGGTTCAGATCCCTGTAAACACCAGCCACACACACACAAAAAAAAAATAGAAAGAAAGAAAATGTTAAAGTTAAAATCTTGGTGGTGGGTTTACATACAGGAGTTCACGGTAACATTCTTTCAACTTTTCTGTATATTTGACACTTTTTGGTAACAAAGTGTTGGAAAAAAATCAAGCAGGAAAATTGCATTATGGCTGTAGTGATTAGCCGTTAGTCAGGATTTTCATCCTAAACTGAAGGTATAGGAAACAGATTTTACATTCTGGGGAAAGGGAGGACTGACAAAAGCTATTTAATCGTCCACAATATATAACAAATATTTCTTGAGTTCCCACTTGACAGCATCAGCTGCACTAAGATCAAGGTGTTAAAGAGAAATCAAATATAAACAACCTGCAGAGCGACAGCACAATGTAAGAGGTAACCATCCTAGCTTGGAAATGCAAGAAGAATGACAGGTGAAAATGATTATCCCATTGATTTAGTCTGCTTCTTTTTGATTATTAGTGAGCCGTGCATCATTTCACATGCCCTGATTTCTCACCTGGACAACTGAGTGGTGATGGGATCCTTTAGTAAGATAGGAAATACATGCACACAGAGGAATACATTTGTAGTGAGTGACAATTTTTGAATTTGCTTTGGCATCTTGAAGTTTATGTGTTTATGTTACACCTAAATAGGTCTAGAATTCAGGAAAAATCTGAATATTGGGCAGAGATTGGGAATCATGGTCATAAAATGATATGGGAAACCAAGAGCCTGGATAAGATCATCCAGAGTATACAGTGAGAAGAAGTGATTCCTTCTTTCAGTCTTTTATCCACTCACCAACCTTTCATTCAGTGTTACTAGAACATATTAAAAATAACAAAATGTTTTCCAGGAGTTCCTAATAACCTCTTGATTGCCAGATCCTATGACCTATTTGCAATCCCAGATGTGTTTAACTAGTTATGTACAGCATTTCCTTGGTTGGCTACTCCTTCAGTGGCAAGCTCTCCTGCGGTGACATCCAGATCACTATTTCCCTCATTTCCCTTCTTTCAGACTGTTCCTTTTCATTCTGAGACTTAAAATTTGACATTCGCAGGAATCCATCATTGGTCCTTAAATCTTCAAATCTAACTTTAAGTTTCCCACAGTTAGGCTGCAGGTCAAACCGACTAAAGTTTAGCAGCTAGTTTAAAACAAAAGTAGTGTTGGTAGTACAACACGAGCACTACTATCCGCCTTGGAGACAGATTGATCTAGTTTGTGAGGATCATCATTGTTTTAATCTCTCTAAGCCTATTTTCTCGTGTCCTGAAAATGGAGACAGAGATATTTGATTTTGCAAGGTTATTGTTGCTGATTAATTTATCAACGTAAATACTAGTATACGTGTAGTGTTCCACATTCATAATACATAATTTGAGATGAACACGACCTATTACTAAACCAAACTATAAATACATTATCCATCTAATCTGCAGGAAGTTATAACACCAAAATTTTAATTTCCGTTCGTGAGCACTCAGCCTCCATAGTGTTACTCAGGTTGCATGCGTTCTCGTTTAGAATCTCTCATAGCGTCAGGGATTAGCTCAAAGTAACAGAACCAACAGCTTCCTTCCATATATCACATTGAGAAACAATTTTTTTTTTCCTTTTTGTCTTTTTTCGTGTCGGGCAATGGATCGCAACCCTCAGTGTCGCGCCCGTACCGGACCGGGACCGTCAACAGGATCGTAACCCTCAGTGTTGCTCCCTCACCTCGCTCAGCCAGTGAGCGGGAACCGGTCTGTACGTGGGATCCGAACCCTCGGCGGGAGCGCCGCTTGGGAGCGCGGCGCACTGTAGCAGTGCGCCACCAGGCCGGCCCCTGAGAAACAAATTTTGCCAAGAAACAGGCTGAGTTTAGTGAAAAGTAAGCTTTGTCACAAAAACACAGCCCATGGGCCCAGCCCGGTGGCGCACTGCTACAGTGCGCCGCTTAGGAAGCGCGGTGGCGCTCCCACCGAGGGTTCGGATCCCACATACAGACCGGTTCCCGCTCACTGGCTGAGCAAGGTGCGGGCGCAGCACCGAGGGTTGCGATCCCGTTGCTGGTCCCGGTCCAGTACGGGTGCGACACTGAGGGTTGCGATCCGTTGCCGGACACGAAAAGACAAAAAGGAAAAAAAAAAAAAAAAAAAAAAAAAAAAAAAAGAAAAACCAAAAACACACCCAAAA